GTTGTCAAGAGCCATTATAAAACTATATCAGGTCATGGTGGCATATGCCTGTAATCCCGGCACTCAGGAGGCTGAGTCAGGAGGATCCTTGAGTTTGATGCCAGCCTGGGCTACATAGACTGTCCCAAAAAACAAATCTACAGTTATCAAAATAGTTGATATTGGTGCAGAAGTAGAAATACCTGTAATCCCAGCACTTGGGAGGCTGAGGCAGAAAGATCACCACAAGTTTGAAGTCAACCTGGACTATCTAGTGAGTTTGAGGCTGGTCTGAATTATATGGTGAGACCTTGTCTTTAAAAAAAAAAATCACTATATAGACATTGTCAAAAAAAAAAGGGGGGGGAGCTGGGGATTTAGCTCGGTGGCACCGTGCCTGCCTTGCAACTGCAAGGTCTTGAGTTCAATCCCTGGTACCACCACCACCCCCAAAAAAATCCCATAAAACAACCCAGGAAGTACTTTCTACATACATAAAATTATGAAAATATACAGAAATTTCACTATAAAATAGGGTGGAGACTTCTGAAATTAGGAAGAAATCAGATTTTGAATCTTTCATCTTCTCCACATACAACAAAAAAGATGAATTTAAGAATAAAGGGCCAGGAATTCAGTTCAGTGGTTCCACCAACTGCCTTGCAAGTGGAAGGTCCTGAGTTCAATTCCTGGTACCAAAAATAGCCACAATCTCCATGAGAACAAGAGGACCTATTCAAAACTACCTGAACTCTATGCTAATAGCTGGTACAAATATATATGTCTGCAAATTATCAAAATAAGATACTTCCATGATAAAGGCTACCTAAAGAAATTCATGACCACCAAATCACCACTGCAAACATTTCTCAAAGATATCCTAGAAAAGGAATGAAGTTAACAATAACAAAATGTCTTAATAGAATTAGTACATGAGGTAAGGTGAGCAGTTAAGTAGAAAAAGAATTGGCAACAGGAAAGTAAGGCAGTAATAGGAGTAAATACAAAATATCTATTAGTAATAATTTTCTATGTGAATTGTTTCAATTCCCAGTCATAAGACACAGACTGGAAGAATGGATCAAAAAACAAAATCCAGTGGTATGCTGTATACAAGAAACATATTTGACCCCAAAATATTCATAAACTAAAAATTGAAGGATGGAAAACAATATTTTATGCAACAGGAACCTGAAAAAAAGCTGGTTTAGTTATATTCAGACAAAGTGGATTTCAGTCCAAAACTGATGAGAGGCAAAGAAAGTCACTAATATTGGTTAAAAGAACAATCCAACACAGAGATAAAAATAATGAACATGTATGCACCAAACAGTTGCATACCCAACTAATAAAACAAGTTCTACTGGGCATAGAATATCAAATAAAAATAAACAGTTATCACGGGGGACCTCAATACCCCATTGTCACAAATAGATCAACTACATAACAAAAAATTAACGAGGAAATTAGAGTTGAACAAAACCTTCAAATGGATTTATCTACAGTTTTCCACCCAACGACAGAATATACATTCTCAGCATCACCTAAAACTTTCTGCAAAATAGAGCACCCACTAGTCAGTAAAGCATGCTTATGTAAATATAAAAGAATTGAAATATTATGCATTTATCCAATCATAAAACAAACTAGAAATCAATGGCAAAAGAAAGCACAGAAGTTAGGCAAATATGTGGAAATTAAACAATACACTCAGAGGATTATCACAGAAATCAAGGAAAAAATCTGACAGTTCCTAGAACTAAATAATGCCAGTATGATAAAATTTATGAAAAAATTTATGACAAAGTGAAACCAGTTCTAAGAGTAAAGTTTATAGCTGTAAATACCCACATCAAAAAAGTAGAATGAGCCAAAATAACCTAATGATGCAACTCAAGGTCCTAGAAAAAAATGAACACTCCAAACTAAAAGTGAGTATAAGGAAGGAAATTATGATCACAGCAGAAATTAATGAAATGAGACAAAAATACAAAGAATTGGTGAATCAAAGAATAAAAATAGACAAACTCTTATTCAATCTTTTCAGAAAAAGAAAAGATAAAAATCAGTTAAAAATTTAAAAGGTACATGTTTCATTTATAAGTACTTTTGAAATAAATTTAAAGGTAGGGAGGGGCCAGGGATTTAGCTCAGTGGCACTGCATCTGCCTCATGAGTGCAAGGTCCAGAGTTCAATCCTGGGTACCAAAAAAATTTTTTTAAAAAAGGTGAAATCACAATAGACACTGCCAGAATTCAGAAAATTATTAATATTAACTACTTCACAAACTTGTATGCCAATATACTGAAGAATTCAAA